GGTAATGATATGTACTAGTAATTTTAAGCATGATGTTATACTAGCAACTTCATTTAGTCTCACACATTAAATGATTTCATTTATTTGTCTCTTATCAGAACATAAATATTGTTGCAACTGTGGCAAGGAGTTAAGAGGAAAATTCTGCTCACATTGTGGTACAGAATCTTACACCAAGGCAGCAGCAGCAGGTAGGTACTGATTTTGAAATTGCGATAGTCAATATGTCAGCCATTCATTTGCTTGTTAATAAATAAGCATTTCTGGCCTAATTGCCACTATGTTCCCCTGGTTGACCATGTATCTGTTGATAGTTTGCGCAAACATTCTAGATGACATCTAGCTCAAATAGTGCTTTGACAGTATTACCCTGATAGACTGGCCATATATACAAGTCATACCTTAAACAAACTCAACTCCTCAGGGAGCATACAATCCCGACTGCCACTAGGCCCACATGGGCTAGCTGCCAATTATTCCTGTCAGGTACCTATTTACTCCTGGGTGGAAGGAAGCACTAAAAGTTAAGGATGTAGTAGTTTTTTTCTTTGAAAATATCAAATTAACTTTTTTTCCATATTCTTTTATACAAATATATAAAGCATGCATTCAACAATTGTTGCAATGGTTTAAGAGGGTGATACATTTTGAGTAAATCTGAGATACAGTGTGTTTTATATTTTTTTGTGATTTTTCACGCATAAGTAAACATCAGTATTTGGGGTTAGTCTAGAGAGTTGATCTCGACTCCCAGCTGCTCCACGATTTTTGGCATAGGTATTCTCTGATAGCTGCTATTGAAATCTGGCAAAGATAGTTTGTCTACCACTTTGACTTTAAAAAATACACAACTCTCCCCTTTGTGAACTGTGACACAGGGTATCATAATTTAAAACAACATTGACGATGTTTTTAAAAAGTGTTATGAGGTAAAAATCTAGGTTACGCAACATTAGATGAACAGGGAAATTGAATTGAAATCTTTTATGAAAATACGACACAACTCTCCCCTTTGTGAACTGTGACACAGGGTATCATAATTTAAAACAACATTGACAATGTTTTTAAAAAGTGTTATGAGGTAAAAATCCAGGTTACGCAACATTAGATGAACAGGGAAATTGAATTGAAATCTTTTATAGTATCTCTAAGTACCACAAACATCATTTCTGTGGCCTTATTTCGGTTTCCTTAAAAAATAACACCTCTCTATTTGTACAGTGATTACACGGTACGATTTTTTTGTAGAAATATTTATTTCATATTATTTGAAAAATAAGTTTTCTAAAAATATATAATTTGATGGGATTCAAAGAATATGTTACATGTACTTCCAAAATGTGCTATGCAACTGCAATAGCAAAAACCTACTCATACTCACAACACTATGATTGTAGGCACACAGCCATTGTACCACAGTACCTCCTATTATATATTATAAACAGAAATAAAAACCATGTTAAACATCAAGCAACTAATTTACCATCCCTGACTTCTAAGTATTGTGAAAATTGCAGGGTCTCATATAAAATACCTTGTGAAATACTTGTATTAAAAGTATCGACATGTATGGTCAC